CACTATGTTGCAAGGGTTTTTACACACCCCTCAGTTTCAGTCAAATGACCAGGATTTGTATACAATCAAGTGTTTTACTTGTTTTTTCGGAGTACAGAAATGGTCAGGCAGCCTGCATCTTCTCAACTCTGACAAGCCTGGCACCCTGTTTTAGATCTGTGTGCACTTTCTTAGACCATATCGCTCCCAGCAGGATACCAGAAAATGGCACTCAATTTTTAATTGGGAAGATTCCTTCCTGTCAAGAGCATTCTTTTAATTAGCCAAGTACCACATGGTTTTGATAAAGAAACCCAGCATCAAAAGCAAAAAGATATTTCCCAATATAAATCCTTGAAAATTAACGTGGAGAAACAAGAACGACAGGGATATCTACTTGATCTCTCTGAAAATGTTTCTGACTAAGCCCTTTCACAAGTATCTCCTGAGCAATGAACACGTATCCCCACTATGTTTTTCTCAGGAGTCCTGAGAGCAAAACCAAACACTGTTGGGCTTTCACCTTTTCTCTTGTGCCTCTTTGCCCATCCTCGCCACACACCTAAGTGCCCACTTGCAGAGGCAAGGGAAAGCATATGCAGGAGATCCCTTCAGCAAGATACGGCTGTATTCTCCTTTCCACTCTCCCTTGTCTGCAGCATGGACAAATTTGTGGTGCCTGTGCTTCAGAAACTTTCAAATAAGTTACTGAAAGCACTGCAACACTCAGAAATGCATGTTAAGTTGAGGTCACACCATGGGTTCTGGGGCAGCCAGCAGTGCACCTGGGCATTTTCACTTGGTTTTTAACTAGAGAGCATGTGCCGGGCTAGCATAGGAGTCCAGGGCTCAGCACGGGCTGGCAGAGTATCAGCTCCACCTGCAACACGCGCAGCTCTGCAACAGCATTCCTAGGAACGAGCTGTACCCCATTTCAGTAATTTAGTCATAGCAGCAATTGCAACAGAAGCTAATTAAGAACCTGTCACACACTTTGGAAAAGTGGGTTTATGGAAAATAAAGAGTATGAGACCACCACAAAGAGATCTCATAGCTCCCACTTGGCTGCTGAAAGATGCTGCTGCTTTGCCAAGATGCAGCAACTGACAGCCCATCTGTTCTTGGTTTCTTGCAAGCAAACAAAATAGGTGACCTCCACGAGGGGTCTAGGCAAGCCTGATATATTTCACATCTGCACCAGGTGAGGGACAGTAGTTCACAAGGTCAGTAAGTGCCTCTCAGCTGAGGGGCAGAAATTAAGACACCAAACCACCATTCAACATAGCTGGATCATAACTTTAATCTGTTAACTCTGCAGCTGCACACTATATACAAAGCAAATATTCAGGTGAAGGAAAAGGATGAAGTTCTGGAGAAGAATAACTAATACTTAAGCCTCTTAATCCTTAAGATACAAAAAGCTGCCAAAGACTCGAAGTGGAGGCAGCAAATATATCCCCACAATGAAGTTCAGGGCTGCCTCTCACTAAGGGAGTCAAGAGTCCCCCCCAATGTGAATGTAACATTTGTGGACAGACCAAGTCCAGTAAGATCACTGGGTACTCTTGCAATAAATCTTAAAAATAAATCTATGTGAAAAATGAACAACTGAGACTAGAAACAAACACCTATTAACTATTCTTTGGTAATTTACTCACCTTGGACTAATACCAGCAGCACTGATAAGGGAACCAAACAGACTCACTTCTTTCCCACAATCCCAGAAAGCACCCAAGGAGAACATCAGCAATTCTCCCTGGCTGACTTGACTGTGCAAGGGAGAAAGCTGGAGGAATTACCAGGAATAAGGTGTTTGATGAGGAGGGTGAGCACCACCCTCTCACTGCTGTGCTCCAGCCAACACTGCAAAGTAGCTTCTGCCTCCCTAGGAACGTCCATCACGTAACACCCAGTTGTTACTGAAGGATTGCTACCCAGTCCTTAAAAGCTGGGTATTACCAAACCCATAATTAAGTCACTAGTTTGATCACCTGTGATTATAAATATTGAAAATGTAATACCCAAAGATCCCCAAATTAACATGCTAGTCTACTGAGAAGAGCCGAGCGGTAAAATTAACTGCTTCCTACACTCACCAGCAGCACAAAAGATCCCACATCACTAGAAAAGTCAATACTAGGAAGAAAAGTCTGATGGTCTATTATGATTGAAGTTCTTTTCCCTCCTCCAAGTGTCTAGAGTCTGGTTTCCCCCAGGAACAGACCATTACTGTGTAAGCCCATCAAATGTGTACAAGGATAACTGCCCAGTTACACAGTCTGAGCCAGCCTCAAACGTCTACCTAGTTTAAAATAAAGCAAATTGAAGGTCTCAAGCACGGCTTGACAAAATGCCAGCAGGCCCATTTCTCCTTGACAGAGGTCACCCCTGCAAGAGCAATACGGCTACAGAAAAGACTGGGATGATTTGGGGTGGAGGAGGCAACCCCAAACAGACCATTCAGGAGGGCAGGATGGAGCAAGGGAAGGAAATCATTAAGAAACATTGGAAAAGATCAGACAATCTGAAAACATGCGTGCCACTGGGTCTCAGCAGAGCACAGTGAGATGTTCAAAAAGCTACTGAAGTGCAGTCACCAGACTGAGCTCCACCCATCACTGGGGTGCATCTGCCACTTGAACAACGGGGTGCACCCAACTCACCTCCCTGCAGAGCATGGAGACTGCCTGCTGTACCATCATTCCTGCACTTCGATGGGAAACCCCTGCATTTCTCACCATGATCCTGGATCTCAATTCTGATATCTAACCCAATAGGGCAACAAAATCAAAACAAGTAAGAAAACTTTGCTTTTTCTCCTATCACTAACCTTTGGACAGCTGGCATATCATCACCTTTCTCTGCCTCAATTTCTAACACTGACTGGACTAAAAGTGACATATGACCAACCACAAAATATTCTGAAACTTAACATCTCTATCACTACAAGCATTTAAAACCACTGAAATAGGATAGAAATTAAGTTCTCCCTGGTCCAATTTGTTCACGTGCTTGCAGCACTATCTAGTTTGTTTCCAGTTTTTTGGGGGGATTTTCAAACAGCAACAAGGATGGCTCCCTCCCCATGAGAAGTTATCTTTGTAAGAAAGTAACCTGAAAGTAGAATACACAGAAGCATGCATGGCTCAAGGAATTTTACATCATTGTCCAGATTCTGCTGAGAATTGTCCAAAGCTTCCTAAGAAAAAAAAAAAAAAAAAGGGAAAAAAAAAGAAAGAAAGAAAAAGGAAAAAAAAAAAAGAAGAAAAGGGCACTCACACTACCAGGCTTAAGGACCACACATTGAGGTACCCAGGGAGGTCAGAATCAGCACAGAGGGACACTTTCCCAGCGTATCTCTTCAATAACCTAGAGACTCTGCAGAAAGATCAACCTTCATGTTTGGAGGCTGAACCTCAGTCCATACAAACACCCTTTTTGCCCCCTCACCCAGACCTGGAATATGCTTCAGTTAATAGATCAACATCAGGGCTAGGGCTCCCACACCAGTTTCCCTCTGGCACTGGTGACACTAAGTACCTAACTAGTAACTGTTGTTTCAGCAGAACTGGAGGACACTCAAGTAGGCTCATGTGTCCAGTGTCTTTAAAGAAAAGAAAAAAAAACCCAAAACCCCAAAAACCTAAGCAGAATGTGTTCCCTGTGACAAAGTGATCCCACACACTAGCTGAAGGAGGAATCCCAGAAATATGTATCCCGCGATACTTCACCAAGACTTGTTTTTCTCTGTACACTTCCACTTTTCAAAGCCCCTAAAAGAACCTAAACAGTATGTTGCCATCACAGAACAACACAGGCACCATTACGGTACCTTTAAAAAACAATTAACAACTCTAAATAAAATTTGAGAGCTCCTTCACTACCCCAGGTTCTCTCATTTGCCCCTTTTTCAGATAAAAGCCTGAATAGCCACACATGCAGCACCATGAACTGATTCAGTTTAAGCAACCAACCCACAAGGGAAGTAGAACGATGAAATGCAGCAAGATCTGTTTGTGAAGCACCCACGTCAGTGCTAAGTGTGAGTAAATTACACTTCTAGGACAGGTGCACACCTGGGAGAGCTCTTCTCTTGCCAGGATTTCCACCTGGATGGCAGGGAACTGCATTCCTTGCAGGATTTCCATCCACGTCCCCAGTACCCCAGGAAATTAGGCCTGAGGCTCACTGTTTGGTGTTACTGGTGCAGACACTGAGCACAAGGATGGGAGGCACCGCAAGGACACGTGCGGACCAGCTCTAGGCAGTCTGGTGGGAGCTGCCTAAGGGACCAGAGCTACTCTGCAGTGGTGGCTGTGAGCTCCAGCAGACACAGGAGAACAGAGCACGTCCCAGCCTTGTCTTTCTTCTCAGCTTCAACTAGCTGCCTTTTTGGCACCAGAGCAGTGAGGCACACCCTGCTCCACTGGTGACAGGGGCAGGGGAAAGGCATTGATCCCAGCAGACGACAGAGGTGTCAGTAACAAGCTGAGAGTTTTGTGCCTGCCAAAAGGCTGGGAGCAGCACTCTGGAGTCCTGCATTTTAGCTGAGCATCAGGTAAGACCATCATCCTGGAACGCGCATGCTTCACAAGAGGCTGTCGGACCTATTTTCCCCACCCAGTCCCATGTGAAGTTTGAGGGAGTTTGAATGCAGAAGGCAGCAGGGGATTTGGGGAAAGACTGAGCTTCTCCTATAGCAAGCGGGATGACAGCAGATGCTAGTGCAACATGAGCTAACAGCAAATTATCTAGCTGCATGGAAAGCTTCTAGCTTGCATTAGACAAGTCAGAGATGTACTTTCTAACTTTTGAGAAAAAAACAGTTTATGCCATTGGCTTATTAGAGGAGATGGCCAGCCAGGACAGCTAAAGTGGGAAAAGTTTCCACAATCTCAAACAAAAAAGGCCCTGTGTTTTAGGCAGTTTATGAAGAACCCATGAGCTATCGCTGCAGCATACTCAGGAACCTTGGCTCGTGTGGAAAATTGATAGATTTAGTTTATTTTGAATTACAAGAACACTCATGTCCCTAGTCCCCATTTCCCCTCAACACTTCTGCAGGCCCTCAGTGTAACGTCCCCCTGCAACAGCCACACTGCACAGCAGCCTACGCAAACTTCAGCGGTGCAGGCTGACACCTGGGACAGGCCAAAGAGGAACAGAAGATCAATTTTTGTGCCTGGCTCTGCTGAAAACTACAATTCAAATACAAATGCACTTTTGAGAACTCCAGCACTTCCACAGTTTTGGCCTGAAGGGCAATACCCTGGGGAATCCATCCCTGGGCTCCAATAAGTACAACTTAAAATTAACATATTCCTCTACGTATAAACAGTGTCATTAGACTTGTACTTTTAAAAAATAAGATCAACCCAGGCCAGGGCCAGGCTCTGCAGATAAAGTAGTAGCTTATCTCTTATAAATATTTTTAATATTTTTTAATTACAAGTAGTCCTCATTCCAGGTAATGTAACTGACACAAAGTACCTGCACACACACAGCCCCTAGACTTTCACAGAAAGCCCTGGAGCAACCACTCTGTAAGAAAGGAATCCTACCTCACAGCAAAGTAGGGGAGAGGGCACAATGGCCAAGATAGCCTAAATGTGGGAGAAGAGTCATTTGGAGTAAATAAAAAGGGATTTTAAAAAACTCATACAAAGGATCAAGGAGGTTAAAGCAAAAAACTGGTTCAAGAAGATGTACAAAACTGCTGGAGACCAACAGAAAACTCTGCCAAAAAGTAACTTGCATTTAAATCAGAAATCAATGGCATCACACAATTTTGTTGTAAAAAAAAAAAAAAAAAAAAAAGAAAGGTGGAAATCTGTGTAAAGATGAGCATTTATGAAGAGTTATCATTAGCTCCAGAGACCAGCGTAATTCCCATGAAGTCCTGATGGAAGAGGGCCTCCTGCCACAAAGAGTTTCGTTCCAGACGAGTCGTAGCAGTGGGTGTAAACAGCATTTGGGAAGAAATTTATGTCAGAAAAATAATTCCTCCACGTTTCATCATGATTCTGTTAAAGGAAAGTTTAGATTGTTACTGTTGCCAAACAAACCCCAAACCCTTGTTTCACAAAAGCACAAGGTAGCTTCCAGAGCCTAAAAAGGGATCTTTTCTGTTAACACGTCCTGAAGCTTCAGTCAGATCAACCTGAAGATACCAGAGCTGTCCTGAAGCTTTTTTTCTGAGGACATTTGGGCCAAACATTGGAGGGGGGAGATGAAGGGTAGGGATGATATCAATTTTCATTAGTTTTTAAAGTTACATCATGATACAAAAGATTAGGGAGAGAAGTTAGACAAAGCCATTAACTGCTGTATGACAGCACACAGGAAATTGCACTCAAGTGCCTGTTGTGGCATTACCTCAGGAAGCCACAGTTTCTAAAATTGCACACAATTAAATTAAATCTCTCTTACTTTAAGTACCACGTTTTTGAGAGAAGGCAATGTATGTTGTGTCTGAAAACTAGAAGCTGGATTACATTCAAAAATATAAAGATATAAAATCCAGTTCATTTATGAATCAGTGAGTAAGAAAAGTAGTCATTAGGCCTTAGACTCAAGCAACAACCATTCAATACCCTTTCATAAAGCTTTTGCAGAAAGCAATTCTACGGTTTTTCTTGCTTTCCATGATTACAGTAATTGGTTACATGACCAGTGTTTTGCTAGGACACGTTTCATACAGTGGCTCCCTTTGCCACAAAAAGAACCGGTTCTCGAGCCCTACAGCAACTCCCGTGTAAAGGGTCTTCTGCAGCCTCCAGCTACTCACCAGCCAGCCTTTCCCAGTAGTCAACTTCAAAATTTCACTTCCTCCTAATTTCTGCTTCTGTCCATAGCAGGCACGTGGGGGCTTTTCATCCAGGAACCTCTGGGCTCTGATATCATAAAACAATAGGGAACCTTGCCCTGTTCCCACTGTGATGATGTGCTCGTAGAAGCTCACCGATCGAATACCTGTCAAACAGAGAAGGGACATACAAGGCAGTAAGGAAAATGGATGCTTTGGCTCTGCAGCGCTGCTATTGATGTCTAATGTTTTCTTTAAGAACTACCTACTAATACTCTCCACAACACAAGTTTCCCCACTGCTACGGAGCAGTGCAGACAAATCCCATTGATGCCACTGCAACAGCAGCTTCAATTAAATATGCTACTTCTCTTCTCCCCTGAGGCCATCAGCTGCACTGATGGTGCATGGTAAGAAGCTTCATTCTCAGCAGGACCCAGCTCTGCCAGATAAGCAAAGATCATAAGCCATTTAGGATCAAGAGCAGCTTTGTTCTGTCTGCCACGAGCCTTTAAGTGAACACACCATCAGTGAGCACGTGGCAGCAGAGCAAAGAACCTGACATTGGTTTCCCCATGAGCTCACACCATATCTATCTACCTACCAAGCTGTGATAAACAACCACGTGAGAAAAATTACTGTCCCAGCTGCAACCAAGTGCATCCTGCTGATCAACAGGCAAGCTGTAAGCAAGTATAGCCATCATAATCACTAGTCACTTTGCTGCTAAGATAGATCATAGGGATAAATCTTCTCACCTTACTCTTTGTACTTGGCACTTCTAGCACTTCACCCAGCAATGAAAACAGACATACAATCCTACAACCTAAGCAACACCAGGTTACTTCAGCACATAGGAAGCTACAACAAGTTTCCAGTCCAAACAAAACATTCTAGCACAATTCAGTTATGCCATTAGATTGAGTAAAAGGCATACATTTTGTTTTCACAAAACCTAAATTGGAAGCCTCAGCTAAACAAAAGGAATAGATTCCAAAACCAAAACTCCCTGGAAACAGTGTTGGGGAGATTATGTACGGGAATTTGCAAAATCTCTATTTATTGTGCAAAAGGTTTGTTCTGTGTAAGCACTCTACCCCAAACAACAATTCTACTCAGATTAAACTGCCACATCTATGCTTTTCCTTCCTGCACAACATGGTGCCAGGTTACAAATACTAGGACTTGTTAAGCCCTCTTTAAAGTACCACTGAGTTACAGCCTAAACAAGCGTTCAAACAGGAAGGAAAAAGAAGTGAGTTACACCAGCTACATCCACATGTCAACCGCTGTCAGTGTGCCAAGCGGGACTGACCATGACAGAACGTGTAACACACTGGCATACACCCTGCAGGGCACGTGACAAAGGACATCTGAGAGGTGTGGGTGCAGCCAGGGAGCTTCCCCTGCCCCTCTGTACAGAGTCCTAACTAGCAACACATCCTCATCCTTCTGCCTCCACAGCCCGATGTTACATCCGCAGCCACCAGCACCTGTGACACAGGCAAGGCCACACTGTTGTGCTCCAGATGTGAGGAGACATCTTGTCTGCAGGCTTAATAGGTGGGAAACCACTGTGCGAGTCTCACACCTGCTAAATTAGATTTACCAGGCTTGTATGAGAATCTCCAATTTAATTCATGGAACTATAAATGCACCTGAGCAAGTTCCAGCCCCGCTGCCTCCGTTACAAGAGCCTGGCTCTGGCAAATACATGCAGAAAGCTTTAAGTCCTCTGCAATCAGCAAGAGCAGTCATTTGGGTAAGAGGAGAAAGGCGTAAGAGGGGACCTCCTCTGGTTTTGTTCCAAAAGTACTCTTGACAAGCAACCCAGCAGTACACTTACTGAACAGAAACAGATGATGGAGTATGGAAGCAGATGGCATATACTTTTCAATGCAATTTACTAATAAAAAGCAGAACTGTGGATCTTTCTCTAACCAAAAAAAATAACTGAAGGAATTTGTGATGTACCCACTGTTAAGAGGATGTTTAGAACAGACTTTCAAGAACAGCACTTCAAACAGGCTCCTAAGGGGCTGAAGTACCTCAGATTAATCATTCCCATCAAACTAAAAGCACAACCTGTGCCTGAGGTGATCATGGTAAGCACTCCAACATACCCAGCACTCTACCACCTGTGGACCTGGACTATTTGTGTCAGTAAATTGAGCCTTTCCCCTGAGAGGCAGGGAGACTCTACGTATTCCAGAAAGAAATGAAGGCAAGCAGTAGCGTGTTCCACACAAGGAGCAGACACAGAGTCTGTGCTGCACAAGCTCTGTCCGCTACATTAACGCTGCTGCCTTCAGCGTATCAAGTCAAGGGCACACGACACAGCACTTGCCAGCTGAGCAGAAAGCAGTTGCTCTTGCAGATCAAGAACTAGAGTCCAGGGTCTGCACTTCCCTGTATAGCTGGTAAGAAAAGCAACACTTAAAAGATGTACTAAAGCATCAGCTACCTTCTCACGTGGAGCAGACAAGGTTACAGGGGGTAAAAACCAGCTCCAGTTCTAGTCCTACTAAGTGACGACCTTTCTCTGACCTGCTTTTGTACACGACACCTGAAGTTAATGTGAAGTTAGGAATGACCATATTTAGCAGGTGCATTTGGAAGCTGAAAGCACAATCAGGTAACATTTCAAAGCACTTAAAAGTAACTCAGATTTTAGTTTGCCAATCAATAAACAGCCTACTTTCTAGAGGTGCTGCACTGCTCCAAGTCCCAGTGAGGGCAACAGAAAGTGGAAACACTCAGTATCTTATCTTTGGGAATTAATATCACTTAAGTGCCTCCACCACCATGCAAAAAAAATAATAAAAAAAGAAAAAGAAAAAAGAAAAAAGATCCGCCTACTATGCAGAACAGAAAACAGCACTGAACAAAGGCTTTCTCCAGACATTAACTAGTGCCCCAGAGATACTACCTGCACATAGACCATCCCCCCAGCAGGGATGATCACATACTCAGGGCAGAAGCTTTCTGCCACCAGCCACTGCTGGGCACCACACTTCAGTGCTGTGGTAATGTCTTCCCTGTGATACTGAAGGGCTACAGCATCAGGACCTCCACAGAGCCCTCGCTGACAGCGGGGCAGGACCAGGGCTGTTGCTGGTAAGGTGTTCAGGTGACAACACAAGCTGGTGAAGCACCTTTTCTCATAGTATAGCAACTCCTCCCATATCTGGAAGAAGACCCTGACATTTATTTAGACAGCACTGTTCAAACTCCAGTAACCACACAAATAAAACTTTCCCAATCCTTGCCTACGTGCATTCTCTTTTGTTAACTTGCCCAATGAAGAGATGATGCCTAGAGTCAAGCCAAAAAAGGACTGCAACTTAATAGTCTGGGATTAATATAGTTTAAAATGGGCATTGCCACACAGTGTCTTCTCATGACTGAAAATAAAGGGTAGGGGAAGAAGCTTATGGCACCCTGCAAGCCCCCACGCTTGGCCCTGGTGTAAGGTTCAATTGGACACACTGCATCCATATCACAAAAGGAAAACAGCACTCAAATCTGCAATTCTTAATTTACTTTTTTTTTTTTAAGAGAGAGCTTTTTTATATTTAAAGCAAATAAACACACATTGAAAATTAAGAGTCTCACTCCTGGTTTTAAAATTACACAGCAAGCATTCACTCACAGCACAGACTCACAATGTGATAGCACGGAGCAGGCAACATGCTGTTCACAGAGAAAAATGCAAGAATAGAGAGTATTAACAGCAGTAGGAAGACTGGATTTGCTTTGAGATGAAGGAAAACAGAATAAGGCACAGTAAAAATTAAGTAAAATGCACACTTCTAAAAGTTCAGTAATATTTAGGTGGTGTACAATTTAGTTGATCATAAAAGCACTGTTGTCACCTGTCATTAAGAGTTCAGAGTTGCTTTTGAGTTTGGTTCATTGGTTGCTCAAGGAATACTGTCATAAAAGCAAAACCTACAGATACTATTACTGATTTAGTCTATCACATGAAGAACCCTTCCTATTTATTAAGAGCTTATCTTACTGCACTCTTTATAGCTACTTCTGCAAGCAAGCCATTTGAAGCACCCTTTGACAAGTTTCTTACCACTGCCTCGTTCTTTGGAACAGACGGATTTAACATTGTGAGAAGGCTGCCTGGGATCCAGAAAGGAGACATGTGCCTGTGATCCTACTGCATACACTGACCACTCCTGACCATAAGCCAAACACACGTTCTCCCTGCAGTATGGCAACTTTGTGGAAAGTAACTGGAAACAGAAGAAATAAAAAATCAACCCGTTATGAGAAAAGAGCAAGATGTTAATAGAACAATTCTGTAAGATATGTTCAAAGAAGCTGCAGTGAAAAAAACCAAAATGCAGCTAAAAAATAAGTTCACCACAAAAATAGAACTTTAAGATAAAAGCAACAACCTGACACAGAAAAAAAAACTTGAAGGAGATGGGATACCTTATCTGAACCAAACCCAGATGGTAAAGGCTGAAGCCAAGTATTATGCAAAGAACAATGAACATTTTGGCATATTGTTTTAAATCCTTCTAAGCCACTGTTATTTCTTCAGCAGGTGTACAGAGACATCAGCTCTCAGCTGGAAAAGCTTACCTCATACACTAGTATAGGTATGTCTGGGTTTCATCTGCAATTACACTTTAAGTGCTAGGACTAAAGTTCCTTTACGAACACTGCTCATCAAGTATCCATCATACCCTATGGAACAGTTCACTTCAGCTCACCCAGAACTGGCAGAAAGTTAAGAGCACTTCCCACCCTCCAAAACAAGGGCAGTGGGGAGTTTCTCTTCTCCAGTTCTAATTTTTAGGACTTTTCATTTTACAGAAAGCTCTTAAGTGTTTTACAAACACTGCTGCTCTGTCTTTAAGCATTTAAAAGAGATGAAGAATAGTGAACAGCCTCAACTGCAAGGCAATTTTTGAAATTTAACATCAACAAATAGAAAAACACCTTTGACAGTGTGTGCTCTGCTTTCCAAAGATGAAAATACCCATCTAGGGACACAGCTCCCAGCTCCTATAAAAAAAAAAAAAAAAGTAAGAGAGTTAGTTTGTCTTATAGATGTCTTTAAAAACACTCACACCCTACTGAGGCAGGCCACCTACTCTGGATTGAACCCATCCATAATCCTGTACATGCTTACCGAGATGAATTTTCATTTTATACTGATGTTCATAGAACATGATACAGCACAAAGGTGCCAGGTACAATAAGAATTAATAAACCAGTAAATAACAAAAAGTAATTTTCAAAAGTATAGATGTTAGACAATCAAATAATGAATCATTAGACAATACAAGCTCGAGTTGGCAATTCTCTATAGCAGCTCCCACACTGATTCTCACCCTGAAGCAAACGTTTATTTCCGAGCACTGCTCTACTGAAAGAGCTATATGAAGTCTCCATCACAGGGGAGTAATTAACAGCTATAGTGAAAAATAAAGCCCAGAGGAGCAGGGTGCTTCTAAGAGCAGACCCACCTTCACTTCAGACCTTCTCTATTCTTAGGACAGAAAGAAAAGTAGTGGTGATGAATTGCTACTCCCACTTGCCCCAGAACAATTCATCTCTAGTAATAAGGACAGACCAGCATGGGGGAGGTTAACATTTACTGTCTGTCAAACACCACCAAAGCCAGCGCTGGAGCCTGCCCTGAGTGTCAGTCACCTCCCTTGCTGAGCAACCCAGTAACCATTCAGCCATCAGAACAGGAACTGCCTGAATGTTAGCTGGTCTTCACAAAAGAGGAAGGAAAGCAGCAAGAGCACTCAAGAGTAGGATTCAAGCTGCAAAGCGGTGTTTTGGGGCTTCATCTGCTTCTTGTAAACATCTCCTGTCTCCCCCACCTTAGGATGCAAGTCTAAAATCAAACCCACAGTAAAATCACCCCTTCTGAAAACACATGGTATTTTTTTTTTCTACTGGACTTCTGCATTCACTTGGAGCAGAAGCAAACATAGCGGATAAAGGTGACCATCTCACATGAAAAGGACGCAAAAGGATCAGGGAAAAAATACTGGGCTCTTTCTCTGGTACTTTTGATTTAGACTAGTTTTTCTTTTTCTAATAACTGTCTAATACAGACAGTTTTAGGACTTCTCTGCTGTCTTGCTTATCTTACTGACCTTGTTCTTATTGTTGAAAGCCAATGCTCGGACTTTGCAGTTGTCAGGATTGGTGTTCTCCTTGGGGATGTCCTTCAGAGCCCTGTGTGTTATGTGGGCATAGACAGGAACTTGAGACAGATTATGCCTGGCATCGCTTTTGGACAACACGTCCTCTGTGACTTCCCAGAGACCCATTGAACCATCTCGGGAACCTGAATAAACAGTGCATAAATAAACAGTCCATTTCACATACACCTCAGCCCCCTTTTAAAAAAGGAATAAACAATAGGGTCTGAAAGAAAAGATACTATTGATTTAATCCAACTGAACACACTGTTGGTGCCTATATATTAATTATTATTAACAAAAATATGATTTTACTGAGCTGTAAAGTTCATAAAATTGTGAACTCATTGTCAGCTGGTTTGTCTACATGCCTTGCAAGCAGCTAGATCACCTCATGTTTTCAAACTGATTAGGATGCATCAAACAACACGATCCTGTACAACAATCACCATTAGAGATTCACACGTAGAACAGACTCAGAGGTGACTGAATAGCCTGTTCGTTCAGCCTGGCTTACCAAGGCTGAGACTGACAGTTTCTTAAGCCAATATAAAAACCTACAAGAAAACTCAGTTGGGTCTATGCCAATTTGGGTTCATTTGATTTCTGCCAGTGTGCAGAAATGCATGTGCAGAAATACACACACACACACACACACATATTTGTGAACTAAACAGAAACAACTATTTCAAACCACAATTTGTATCAAATCTATTTCCTTTTTTTTTTTTTCTTAAACCTTTTGTTTAAAGAATGTAACACAGGAACTGAGGCTGAGCAAGCAAGAACTCTTCTTATTTTTCTACTGAATTTGAAGATACTAATCCAAAATGTGAATCAATAAGAGTAACAATACTGGATTAAGACAGGTGAATGTCTTTGGTTCATAAATCAACACAGGTTTAATCCAAGGCCCTATACCCATCCTTTCTGGTGTTTAGGATACTCAATTCCATCTAAATCAGCTCTGA